GGCCTCGGAGGAAACGCGCATCTATGGACTGGAGGCACTAACAACAGTTTAATTAGGGCCATCGTGCAAAGAAGAATGGCGTTTTAATGACCCCAAAGACCATTCATGCAAGCAAACCCACCTTTTCTGCATCCCGGAGGCCGTAACTAGAGAACCTTATCAGAATAGCGTATGACAGATAGTGCCAGGCCGGAGTCGAACCATTTTCTTAGAATCATGTGCTTAATGGAACACATTACCGTGAAATGTAGCCATATCCCTCCCCGTAGACCCATTCAAAAACGTTTTCAGTCACGTCAGTTCGTTCGGCTTACCGGCCACCTACTCAGGGCCCTGCTGACTTCAGTAGTACACTACTACTCTTCCCATTCTCCACTAAACATCTTTCCGTTTTTGATACACCCATATTGTCTTCCAACTCTTACCCTTCATGAACCTCCCATATACCTTTTCCCTCTATCTTGCTGCTTCTGTTCCGGATCCTATACAGGAAAAGTCACGAAAGGCAACTAATATTCGCACCAACCCGTAGCTTCCTAGCCAACTCAGTCTACAAGTTACGAATAGCAATCCACGCGAACGTTCCGCTCAAGAAGCGATCCCCGGGCCACTCCTATTTTTAACATTCATCGATGACTTCCCAGCTCAATTCTACCGGTTTATGCTTCTCTTTGCTGATGACATCAAAGCACGGAGGACCATAGGTAAGCAAGACGACCTGTTGCAGCTAGAGTCCTGGTGGTCTGCGAACGGTTTAAGCCTAAACCTGGGGAAGTGCGTTGACGTTTCTTCGCTCACCGCACGGGATGAAAACCAGCTACACCCTCGACAAGAGCGCGATTAGCAGACCATTGAGGAAGAGCGACCTAGAACCAAACTTCCCTGACGTACTGGATGCCAGTGCCAGCTTTGAGGGGATGGCGGTAGAAGTGAATGCCATCGTGACCATTTCAGTGAGGCAACTCGGAGCACTAACTCCTGAAATATTTCTAATGCTATTTAAAACCTACACTGCGCCACACCAGGAGGCATTCAAGTGGTTGGATATACTTCATTGGAATCCACAAAATACCTGGAACCGCCCCACAAGATCCAGAAGCCAACTCAAAGAAATCATTGGCTTACACCGGCCGGGAGAAGAGTATTGGGTATTGGATGAATGACGTGAACCACTCGTCTCTCAGCTTTTGGATTTTTCCACACTGAAAAACTCCCACCTAGAATACTCAATCTATGAAAGCCGAACTTTTGCAACACTCCTATTCCTACACACATTTCACTACTGCATATCTGTCAACTCACTTCCCAACGGTTTAAAAACGGTATTACTAATTCTAAGGACCGACCAACCTGCCTCCAGTCAGTGGTTCTTGGGTGTTCCAACTGCTAGACTGTCTTAGCTCCCGGTTCTCTTCGGAGGCCATTCCCCCGGAAACACCCTTCCTAAATCCACATGCGCATCTGTAGGTTACGGTCAAACTCGTTGGGCAAGGGCTGAGAAGCAAGTGACAAGTGTCTGAAGGTAAGTTAACATGAATTGTCTTCCTGTATATATTTTATTTTTTGCTACATTCAGCCTCCAGCCTCCTTATCCCCGTTAAATATTTGTTTCCCCAAGAGGCTTATGTAGTGGTGATATGTTTGCCCAGAAAGCTAGATCCAGAGCTTTGACACGGATGACGAGGTCGTGCACAAGAAGGGACAATATTAGCCGAGACGACACTCCAGTCTGACCCCGCAGGCAAACAGAGGTAGGGCAGAACGGCGGATTCCTGAAGAAGCGCCCAACTTATGTTTCTAGAATTCCAGTCGTCATCAAACAGGTGACATGGAGTAGCACTAGCACGTCACAATCTGGTCCTACGTCCGGTGAGGATCAGACCATGCCTGAAAAGAGGAAATGGCGTGACTGGCTTAAGAATAAGGCGGCTACAAGCAGTCCACCAAGCTCCGTAGCACTTTCTTCGAGGAAAGAAGGCTGTATCGTGACAGCCGATGGCTGCATTGTTCTCACTAAGGTTGTTTTGGTAATCGATGAGACATTTGCATGCAGCCTACGTCACCGATGGGTGCATTGCCACTGTGACACCCAAGTACATCAACAATACCATAGGCTGAAGAAGAGACAGTCATGCAGATGGTTCTCGTACACTTGTCCAGAGTTCAGGAGGCTCTCAGCACTCCGCATGGAAGGCCTGAAAGAGATGCCTTCCGTCACGCATAGGCTACCAACATCCCCGAATAAAGTAGGACTAACATTAATGGATGACACAGAGGGACCTGGAAACAAAGCCAGGTCTTCAGAGAGACCTGAGACAACCGGAGACTCCCTGCACCTTCCCTTGCTATAGCAGAGCCAACTAAGAGACCATGAGCGACTACTTCATGAATATATCATGGCTGATAGACTGAACTCATCTCACAATAGATGAACACTGGATGCAGGTGAAGAAAAGAATCGTTGGGGCCATCAGTCACAGTGTACCAGAGGTAACACACAGACCGTCAATGAGAACCTCATGGCTAAAGCGTGGGACAGAGAGACTAATTCAGAGGAAGAAGCAGGCTTGTTTCAGGTGGGGTTCATCAAGCAGGGAGTCTGACACTTTGAACTGTAGAAGCATTCGCAACTGCTGAAACACAAGAGTGTGTAGCGACAAATCCGCCTGTCAGCAAACCTGGCGGGGAAGTTATAAAACAATTCCAAAAACCTGTATGGCCTGATGTCGAAAATGAAGTCGACCAGCAAGAGAGTGAATCTTGTCACAGGTCCTGATTGGAGTATACTAAGCAGTCTGGAGACTGCCCAGCCTCTGAGCTCACTCTTCCCAACCCAACTTAGCACCGGCACCAAATCCACACTGACTGGTTACGGCACCGACCAGGTAATAAATAGTGAATGCTTCTGCCACATCCCAATCACAGAGAAAAAATAGCCAGGAGAACTATCTAGGCAACGCCCAGGTAAGTTCCCTGGCTGCGACAACCTAAAACCGGTGATCCTAAAAACTGCGCTGCGGTGTTTGCAAAACAAATCTGCAACCTCCTCGAGCACTCAGTAGAGTCGTGCGAACTGTCCAAAGGGTGGAGGTGCGCAATCTTGTCACCCATCTCAAAGCGAGGAGACAGAGAAAGCCCTGACAGCTACAGGCCAAATGCTCTAATCCCGACTGTGTTGAAAATGTTGGAAAGCCTGGTATTTGACACTATCTGCGAATTCCTTAGAGGGAAAATGCTGTCCATAATGCCAGTATGGTTTTCGGAGTGGTCGCTGACGTGCCACCAGATTGCCAGCTTCCAGGGACGACTAGACACTCAGCTGGGATAGCACATAACCACGTTGCACTTTCTGCATAGGCAGCTTGACGCCCTCCCATCCGAACTCTTCCTCACCGTTTTCAAATCCTACGCACGGCCGCACCTAGAGGTTCACAGTACGTGGCCACCCAACGCTCAACAGGCACCGTAGTCTCCTTGAAAAATACAAACAACTGTAGCAAAATCGGCTGTGGGTCAAAGGGGAAGAGATAACCTGAAAGACTTCAACACATAAGCCTGTTCACCTTGGGTTATTGTAGGGAGAGGGGTGGCCTTATTATGGCCTACAAGATCGCCCATCAGACGGACCACGCGACCAAATCAGTTTCGCCTGCAACTTAGCGGTCTTCACGAGCAAACCCTATTAAGATAGCGCACCAGAGAGCCAACACCATACTCAGGTCCAGTTGTTTCTCCCTGAGAGTATGTGATCTATAGAAGGCCTTACCACGGCATATGGTTGTAGCTCCCTCAGTCAACTCATTTAAGAGACAGTTAGACACTTGTGTCACTTCGCGTGGCCTATCACGGAGTCACCAACCTCACCAGCCCACCCTTACCTCCTTCCTACCTACCACTCACTATCTCTCTCCTTAATACATCCACGTCACCTACTAATTCTTCTGTAGGAACTAAACCCACGCTACCATTCGAGCAACTCCGGCATACTTTTCCCTCTCTTTTATTTCTCTTTTTCACCCCTCCTTTTCTTCGGCTTTTCCTTTCTCCTCCCTTATGGTCTTTTTATTCTTCATTCTTTACCCACTACCTTACTATTATCTTTCAGGTGTCCACACAGACAGGAGTCACGACAATCTCCTAACTGTCTCAACAACCCGTAGCTCCTCAGTCAGGCTACAAACTACAATTTACTAACCCACAAAACATCCACCTCACCGAAGCTAAAAGCAAGAAAGCAGAGGGGATATCCTCGTCCACTGCAGGAGTGAACCGAACAACTCGAACCAGGCTCCAAGAACCAGATATGAGAGATAAGAAACCATCAGTTTCCTACTCTAACACTATCAATATTGAATATTAGATATTGTAAATTGACAAACACTACCTCCAAAGCTATAAGAAGGAAAACGCAAAGGCTTTAGCTACCATCGAAGGAGTACGACTGAGCAAAAGGAAACAAGCCTCAAGACCTAGAAGTGAGAACTCAAAAACTACAACTTTCTCTAGTCACACCATTGGTGTTGGATGTTGGATGATGGAGAGCGGATTTTCTGAACGTTTCGGAACATATGTTGTTGTTGTGTTCAGGATTTTGCTGAACACCTTTCTGGTTTGTATTTCAAGATTTCTTTGTTTTTTTTCGTTGTGTGGTGTCAAAGTTTGCCGATTGTTGCATACTGTTAAACGTAAGTTGTAGGCTCACCCTCTCTTCTTTCCCCTTTCCAGATTCTCGTGCTGGCTGATTGTTTTACTTCCAAGGAACTCTCTTGTGCACACCCATCTGCAGCAACATACCTGGAAGCTAAGTGGAGGTCTTCGAGAGCGGGTTTTCGCAGTAATGTGCAGATGTAATGGTACGCAGGATGGGGAGGCATCTGAAGAGATATTATGAAGAAAGAAATGATCAAAGCATATACAGTATTTCTTGTCACCATTATGACTGAGGAAATGTGGCTGTCGGAGTCGGGGAACATTGAACGTAACTGCTTGAAGGCCAGGATATGCTTGTCGAAAATAGTATCTACCCTCATGAAACTGGTACGATTTATGTGCAAGTATTGAAAAATATATTTTCAGATCAGCTTCCAATTGCCTGTCAGATGAACAGCATCACACCGCATATAAATGGCTGCTGTGATCAAGCACTGTTTAAAAGCATTATGCTGACAGGAACTTCCGAATTCACTCGAAGGTGGAATATGTTTTGGCATAATATTAGTCAGTCACTAACTGGAGATGCACAGTTCTTACAGAGTATGTTCATCGGTAAATTATCCAGATTATCTAGACTATTTGGTGACGAGTTTACGTCTAACTATGAATGGTCTTCATGATCTCTTTGCAAGTTCATATGGTTATAACTATGACCATAACAAAGATTTTGTTGAAAAATTTTTCTTTGAACTGGAAAGCTACATGCTGGGCAATAAGCAAAATATTGGTTCCTTAGTTGATGATTTTTTTGACGGCTTGCTCACTCGTGTTCTTCGAGTTATGCTGTTGGTGAAGAGTGATCATGATCGCTCTGTAGTCGATTGTATTGCATCAAAACTAAAACCGTTAAAACCTTTTGATCAAGCACCTGATTTCATTAGAGTTATGTCAATCCGTGCATTCCCTCCTGCCAGGATTCTCAGAAACGGACTTCTTCTGGGAAGCACAATAGTCAAATCTTTTTCAGGAAAGGTGATTATTTTTTAGGACTTCATTAGTATTATTTTATCGGTTTTTCCATATTAGTCTAGTTTGTTTGTTACTGCACACAGTGATAGAGTATTATTTTCTTGATAACGTTCCAATTAAATATACTGTTCATAATCGTATCAGGATAACCACAAAATCCCATGTTTTAGTGTTTTAATAGTCCTACCGTTTTTCATTCCTTGGTAATTTCCCAAATATCTGGAATCAGTGTTGGATCGTTCCTATTGCACGCGTTAGCTATTAAGTCGACTAAAATAGGTTAAGTGATTGACGTTTCCCTCCACCTAGCTACATAAACGAGCTGTTGCTCCGTCCCGCTCTGCTAGGTTGTTTTATCACGCATAGCCATGGCTGAATTCATCTTTACAGCAGTCGTATTAGTATGATCTGACAATGTAGACTTAGTTAGGTTCCTATATGCTGCTAACCTGTCTGACTCCGGTTAGCTAGCTGGACCTATGTACTTGACCTCAGAGTCATTGAAAGATAGTTGCTAAGCCTTAGGATACTACTGCGAAGTATTACCTTTTCTGTGTATCCACGACTTTAAATTTAGTAAAAGTAATAAAATGTGCTTCGTGTACATAGTGTGGTGCATTAAACCTTACAGTGATAAATAGGAGGATTGAAGTGTTGGTTTTTATAAGTGCGAAATTAGGTTTAAAACAAGGCTGTCTACGATCACTCACGATATTCCTGATTGTGGTCGACTGGATCATGCAACAAACAGTGAGGAGCGAGAAGAGGGGGATACGCTGGTTGGACCGAGGAAAAAATCTTAGAAGATTTGGATTTCGCCGATGACTTGTGTCTAATGTCACAGAAACTTGAAGATCTATAGGCGGAAATTAACAAGTTGACAGAAGAGGCGAGGCAGCGAAGACGGGAGTTCCTTCAGGTGAACGTAGAGAAGACGGAGGTGATGAAGATACCCAACCAGCAACAGCATCAACAACTACAACAAGCTCCAATCACCATCAATGGGAGAAACTTAAAGGAAGTAGCCTCTTTCACCTAACTAGGCAGGCAGCATCGTTCCAATTACAAGCGGCACAGACGAGAATGTCAAAACCAAGATCGGAAAGACAGGCTTTCATGAATCTGAAATCACTATGGAGATCTTCTGCACTTAGCATGTGGAACAAGATCCGGATTTTCAACACCAATGTCAGTGAAGTCAGTGCTGCTTTATGGTTCAGAAACTTGGCGTGTCACGAAAAGCATTTCCAACAAACTACAGACGTTCATCAACAACTGCTTACGCTCGCTACTGAAGATCAGATGGTCAGAATAATAAGAATAAGCAACAAGGAACTCTGGCTGGTGAGAAACCAAACAAGAACCCATCACCCAACAAATAAGCAGAAGGAAGTGTAGATGGATTGGGCATACACTTGAGAGGCTGACTGGGGACATCACGCGCCAGGCTGTCGAGTGGAAGCCAAATGGGAAACGACAAGTTGGGCGTTGGTGCCGAGGGTGACATGGAGGAGATGATGTGAGGAGGAAATGAGAGGTTGTGGGCTGTCGTAGAGCCAGGTTCAAACGATTGCAGAGAACAGAGTGGAATGGAGACGTGCTACTGAATTCCTATGTTCCACTAGGAACCCAAGGGACAAATAAATAATAATAATAATAATAGGCATGCCCCACATCACAGCTTATTCAATATTCTGTCATCCTTATTTCCTCTGTCGACTAGTTTTATCGCCTGTGTTTGTCGTAGAAGTTGCTTTGAATTTTCGACTATCAACTAAAGCTAAAATTAAGTGTCTTAGGGTATGCTATAGATACAGCTTTCACTGGTTATAAATTAGTGGTTAACCTTACCTACTACATAAGTATCCTATAAGACTCGTAATACTACGCCCCCTTGGTATCGGTTGATTGTTTAATGAATCTCATACATTTTGTTGCTTCATAGGAAGTATGAATTTATCTTTATCGTCATTTTTGATTATTTCATCTCATGAATCCTTGAATATTCAGTGGTTTCTTACACTTCAGAAATTATCTCCGTTTACTGGTATTATCACTCATTGTGGATTTTTGACACCTCAGTGTTCTTAATCTTCAGGAACTAGTTTTTTTGAATTGAAAATAAGCTTTTTCACACATATCATCTTCACATATTTCTTAAGGCAGATGGTGGGAACGATAAGTAAACTACGCTTGGAAGTAGTTCAGTCGATCATCTTGGAGGTTACTCATCGTACATGAATAACCAGGAAGTCATCCTCCAACCATCATTAAAATACTCCTAGCAAACCTAAAGTGAGAAAGATTTCAGATCCTGATGAATTATTTCTATTTTAAAGTAGCTAATAGGTATCACAAATTAATCTGACTAGTCTGATGATTGAAGAGAAGCGGTCAAACTAAGTCTCATTTGTTTTCTTTGCATTATTGATCTCATCATTGTGTAATTAAGGACTTGTTTAAATGCATATTGTTTCGTCTGGTTATTCACGAGAAAGAATGAAATTCTGCTTGTTAAAGCAAGTAAGGCGTATAACAGTTAACAGAGTATTGGAAATCGTAAAGTCCATAATCAACTGATATTTAATTGAAGCTTCGAAATTAAAATCTGAAGATAACAAACCTAGTCTAGAATATGCCAATAAGATATTCGCTATTTGTTTCTTTGTTGGAACCCCGAGTTGGTCATATCCGTTAGTCTAAAGGCAGAAGTTGACTCATCTCTGCAACAAGTTTTATGGTAGTATCTAATTAAGGAGGGTTGTTGATTATGCATCTTACCACTCATTTGTACTGTAGCTTCTGGTCATGTAGGGACATACTGAGATGTAATATAAGGTGACTACGTCAACTGATATTCACCGGAGATATTTGCATCCGTTTTAAACCAAATCCGTTATTTTTTGCTGATGTAATCTGTCATTTGGAAATGTATAAACTGACCTAGGACATCCTTTCTAAACGTCTGTTAGGTGGATACACTGAAAAAATACGGTCATCTGAACAGTCTGAGTGAAATGTCTGGAAAACATAGGTTTTTTGCTAGTTATTCTTTAACAGCTTGATATAATGTATTGAAGTACACACTGATCTTCTTAACCGTGAAATGTAACCTTTAAGTGAAGATTTTGTAAGGCTACATACTTTTTTCATAAATGCCTATAAAGCGTTGTTAACCAGTGATGGCTCCACTGAGTTGCTAGTTTTGTTTCGTCAAGAACTAAGCAAAGCATTTGAACCAATTAAAAGGTTGTGAACTTGCATTGGAATGGCTTGAGGCTCTGCGCAAAATGCCTCCCAGTTATCTACTGGATCGTAGTAAACCAGCTAAGGTGAGATAAATATGAAGAAAGGCTAAGTTCACCGGCTCAGCATGTAACCAATCAATAAAGTGTCTAACTGCACGTCTGGATCTTGTAATGAAGTGTAGCTTTCCTGGTTGAACTCCTTCATCATCATCATCATCATCATCATCATCATCATCATCATCATCATCATCATCATCGGTCAAAAGAAGAAGTAGAAAGTCATCATCATCATCATCATAAATATCAACATACGATCAGGCATTACTGCGTAACGGTCCAAGTTGCCACAGCTCATATCAGTACACCAAGCAAAAAGGCAGTGAAGTGGAAGATGAAGAAAGGAAAATTCAGTCAAAAGAAATATAAAGTACGAGAAGAAAGAAAGGAAGAGTGACAAAATGGTGAGAATCGGTACAGTGTTAAGATGAGGATAGTGTGTGTATACATCTGTGCCACTGACACAGGTTCTGAGCCATATCCCGTAGAGTCTCCAGCCACTGGTTCCTCTTGTCCCGCGGACCCCAACCGGCTGGTCTACATCGCCGCACATTGCTCAAACCAACAGTTATACATTGATGCCATGTTTTAGTTTGGTCACCTTGGGCCTTTTTCCGGCCTGGACCTACTTCGGTCAACATTGTGTGATGAGGCAATCGGTGACTAGGCATACGTAACACCTGTCCCAACCGTCTGAGTCGATGAAGGTTCATAACCTCGTCAACTGACTTCCCTCTTCTCCCTAAAAATCCGTGGTGGTACCACGGAATACGGCCTATACTATGGAGGCAACGGTGGTCAAACACTTGAAGCCTTCTCATATCTTCCACCTTCAATGGCCATGTTTCACAGCCATACAGTCGAACAGACCTGGCTGCTGTGCAGTACACGCGACTCTTAATAGACAGTTGGATATCACGGCGGCGTTATAGGTGGCGTAAGTTGACGAAAGCCAGCCGAGCCTTTTGTATTCGTAAAGAGATTTCATCGGCCACAGCTACCGGGGCAGGGCTGATCCTACTTCCCAGGTAAGTGAAGTGGTTGACACACTCAATCACCTCACTCTCTATTATTAGCCGGGGCATCGTTGAAGACCAGTCGTGGAGCGACAATTTGCGTTTGGGTGGTGAGAAACGCATCCGAAAAATTCTCAAATTGCGCTCAAAGTTTCTAGAAGACTTTGCATTTTGTCAACGTCTTCAACCAACAGGACCATATCATTTATGTATTCTAGATTAACCAAAACTTTTGTGATTAGGTCCTCCTTGTAGTCAGATAATTAGAGGAAGACCTGCACAAGAAGGTCTATGACAAAACTGAATAAGAATGAATAGAGTGGGTATCCTAAAGGGACACCACTCCACTTAAACAACTCGCTCGACATCTCACCATGGGCTCCAACACTCCCACAGGTATTCGAATAAAGAGCCTTCAATAAGATGGTGTGCTTTCTCGACACCTCTTTCAATGAGAGACATGGCATACTGCGTCTGGATCGACGGAGTCGGAGGCCAAGAAAGACGGCTAGTGTCGGGCGTAGGTAAGTTTGTCTATGTTCCAGAATCTGTCAGTGTCAATATTCGGTCGATACATCAACGACCAGGTCTGAGGCCAGGCTGGTTTTCTTGAGCTTACTGTTCCCGAGCTCCACTTAGACGTCTAGTGCTTGAAGAACCCAGAATCTCAGACTATGTTCGTCAGGCTAATTCCTCTGTAGTTATCACAAGAGGACTTCTCGCCTTTCTTGAAGACTGGAATAATCAGTGATTAAGACCAGTCAGAGGGGATTATATTTGACTCTCATACACCCGTTAACTTAACTAAAAACTTTATATGCCTCAGGAATTAGTCTGTCTGGTCCTGCTGCACTTTCTCGTTTCAAGTCACCCATCTCTTTCTCGACTTCTGGGGGCCTATCTTAGTGTTCCATTCAGGATCCGACTGAATAGTAGGCAACGCAATAGTATCTGTAGACCAGTTGAACTGTTCCTCGAAGTGTTCTGCGCGTCTTTCTAGTCGTCTTCCTAGCGAGTGAATCTCAGACCCATCTTTCTCCTCTATAGTCTCACCAACCGTTGACATTTTCGCCCCAGTTTCTTTAATAAGTCTGAATAATTATCTACTATTACCTATTATCGTTGCCTTTTTCATCCCTTCACCCTTAGCTGCCCACCATTATTCGCAGTCATTGCGTAGACGTTTTGTCAGTCTACATTTGAGTTACATTTGCTTTTCGTTTTACTCAGAGCCTGCAGGTTGTGTTCGCGTGCATCAATTAATTCCAAAGAAGCTGCTGATGTCCACTGGATCTTTTAAACCACTTTTTGGGGGTCAGCTAAGATCTTCAACGCCTTTTTTTACAGCAGACTGGAGTTGGCACCAAGCTTCTTTTGGATACGTGATAGTGTTCCGTTCGGATAGCTGCCTAGTTAGTTTCTCAATAACAGCAGACGGAGTGTTCTCATTGTGGAGTTGCACTTGTAATGATTTTTTTGCTTAAGTTTTTCTACGTCCATTGAGATGCAAACATATATACCCTCGAACCAACGCGTAATCGCTATGGGAACATGTGCTCCGGTAATAGCGGGAGTCTTCCATCGACCCTCTCCGGCCATGACTGGTAGCAGTGTAATCTATCTGTGTCCTTCTCTGAGTGGTAGTCGGTGAACTCCACGTCAGACAATATTTTTCTTTATGTCTGAAGTTTGTGGTATCTGGAAATACATGGTTATCTGAGCACATTTGTAGTGAGAGGTCACCGTTACTTGTTCGTTTAGCCGGGATTCCGAAAGTGCCACCTAGGTGCCTTTCTGCCTGACTCAGCCTACCCACTTGTGCATTGGAATCACCTGTAATAACAACCACATCTGAACGTTTAGCTTTCAGAAGGAGGCTAGACAGTTTTCGATAGAACTCATCCTTCACTTCATCTGAACTGCACTCAGTGGGTGCGTAAGCAGAGATTACAAAGATAAGACGGTGAGTTTCGCTGTTCCTTTTAGTTCCCACTGTACCGAACAGCGCATAGACGACTGTCGACTGGGATCCAGTTTAGTAGTGAGCTTTCTATCCTAGTGCTTAATGCTATGCCTACACCTGCAAGACCGTGAGAACTAGCCACTGAATCTCCCGAAATTCTAAGGGTTAATTTTGCGGATTCACCACATTGGGTGAGAGAGATTGAATGAATAGCCACACTTGGGTTCTGTATGCGTGTCTCACAAACACTTCCCGGCTGCCCACACCGTGGAAGGCTAGATCTTCTTGAGGTACCTGAAAAAGAAGGGTTAGTACGTGACTGCAGAGCCTAGAGGACATCTGCTTGCAACCGGTCACGTACGGCCTTTTTGACGCCATGACAATTGTACTGTATTATGCGACATGTAGTCAGACGTACGTCCTGTGGTTATGGATCACCACTAACCACTGATGACCGATCTGAGCCATCATAATCCATCATTTCATTGTTTAAGAACATATTAAATGTAAGGGTGACTGCTTGTTTTCTAACCACTATCCAACAAACCTTCCTGGTATGATGGTACCTCGAAGAAACAAGCGTTTCACCGACAGAGCCCATTGGGTCATCGTGGTATACAAGCCCTACTACCACGTCAAGGTAGCAGATATCGGTTGAATTCCTTGAGATGACGATAAACGTGAGATGATGCAACTGTAAATTTCTCACATGGATGCAGATATAAATTCTCTGTACCTTTAAACGAAGGAGAGATTCCTATCCATGTATTCCTTAACTTTTCCCCTTCGTTATTTGCGTTATAGCATAGATGAACTTGCTTTTGTCACCCTTATTTTCCTGATATTGATCTCTTCACTGTGCTGAGGTGAACTATCGTATCTTAGACCGCCACATTACGTATATATATATATATATATATATATATATATATATATATATATATATATATATATATATATATATATATATATATATATATATATATATATAAACCCACCAGCAAATTTAAGTTCTGAAATATTTATTGTGTACTATTTCTTTGTTTTTAGATGATACTGAATCACAGTTGTGTAGGTGAATGGACTAAACTACGTTACTGTCACTTATGCTCAGGTATATTTCAACCTGTCATATGTCGAAATTACTGTTTAAATCGTTTGTCAACCTGTTTGTTACCTGAAGCTTCTCTTGACAAATACTGGTTGTTATTTATTGGTACGTTATGTGGTACAATATCGTAAGCTATTTAAATACTCATCATCTTTTTTAATATTGTATTTGCTTGTTGCCATTATCCAGTGGATTAGGGTCTACAAGTACTAGAGTTTGTGGTGATTTATTTCTCGCGGAAGTTTCAGTATTGGTGTGAATCCGAAATATGGCGCCAGGGGTTGGAGGAGTGTATCCTTCAAATGTCAAATCATACATCATCAAATAAGACTGCTTGACTTAAAAAAAATGCTTTTAATGCATACTTCTCATTAGAAACGTGTTACTTGTTTCCTACAATCAACACTTTACCTAAATCCAGAAATGGTAGCTTTCAATTGAACTCTTAATGTTTCTATCGTATGCATTTATGAATCTTAGTAATGGCACCCGGCAGCTGCTACCTTGGCGCGGTGGTCAGGTTTGCATATCACACCAACCCAATGAGTGACGTTTGTGAAATGCTTGTTACCTTGATGTCCTGCCATACTAGAAAAGTCAGTTAGATAGTGGTAAGACAAAAAAACAGTTACAGTTATATTGTACATAGCTACGCTATAATGGGGGTCCAAGGGCAAAGTTGTACTGCTCTCTAGACGGATGCAAGAGTACTAAGGTGTTTCCCACGAATGACTAGCAGTACCATTCTGATTCTCCCTTTCCTAGGGGAAGGAATGGGGATTAAAAAGGTCTGATCCAAATGTGATACCCCCTGCCCTGTAGTCTCTCAGTCCCGGTGGTATGAATTAATAAATGGATTTGAAACAAGCAAAAATCAGACCTAAATGGAAGTGTAGCTGGCATCAAGCAGGTACCCTTTGAGCCCAACACTTACCACTGTTACTAACCCAACTTCAGGTACCACAAGAAGGAATAGTCTTTAACGGTATGCGCAGGCAGGAGGCGTCAACCCTCCTCACAACTACCTCGTTCTCTCAAAACACCACCAACCACCCACATATTTGCTTCCTAACCTTTACTTGCGTTTCTCGGTCAGTAATTCTACGTCATGGTTAATTTCTTCCAGCTCTCCACCTCACAATACCGATTCGAGTTCATGGAACAGCACTCCTGGCATCCTGAAATTGCGCTGCAAACATGTAAGAACTTTCAATTCCCATGCCATTCATCATTTCAAATGAGAAGCTTCATTGACCAAAACTCTGTCGTCTCGCACCACAGACGCGTTCTGTGTTTGTGTGACATACATACTAGACCCAAATGTATGTGTGTGTAGGGGGGGGGAGGAGGAGGTTGGCCCCTCCACTTGTTGCATGTATTGAAAAAGCTCTAAGCAAGCTAAAAAGGAGAGACATAACGAGCTCTGAAAAGCCCGTACCGTAGGTTTTTGTGGCCAGTACTCGAGGATTATTGATTTGATTAACTGGTGCTAGCTAGCGTACGAAAGTAAATGTAATCCTGTGTCATTAGTTCTGTCAGACTTCAATAGGAGAGAGATGTTTCGCTGCAATATACTCAGGGGAACTAGTCTGACAAATATAATGCCTGAGATCCTGGGCTCTTTAATCATTAGTGAAGTGAAGTTCAGATTTCATACGTGATCATGCGTCAATGGACCAGATAGTCACTGTCTGCTAGATAGTGGAGGGCACCCACAGTTACAAGTGTCCGACACTGGCTGTATTTTTTAACGTGAGGATGACATTCGACGCCGCCGATCAAGAGGTCTCATAACCGTGTCTTTCAGTGAAAATGATGTCAGATGAGTAGATCACTCTATCTAAAGGCTCTGCATTCGAATATACATGGGCGTGCCAGAGCCTTTGGTGTGTTATCAGATGAGTTGTGTACCTCAAGCAGTTTCCGTCACTTATATCTACATCCTCTATTCTTACTTGGTTTTTTATAGGTGTTTTTGTGAGGGTCTCCCTCTAGTCGCCTGACTTTACAGGGATTGGACTCGTCATAGGAGACACCCTAGTAGACACAGTACACATATGACATATTGGTGTTGGGTGAAGATACTGACGAAATGAAGAGTCTACTGGACGCATTGAGTGGCAACCTGGAAATGTTTAGGATGCCTTTTTCATCACCCAAATGCAAACTATTGCTCGAGGACTGCTCGTCTGTGGTGCCTTGTTTAACATTAGGTAGCAAAGTGGATCAGCGCGTTGAACACTTCACTTATTTTGGAAGTTGGATCAGCCATGACAAGTCACTGAAAAACGAAATCTCCGCACGCTTAAAAGTTGGTCACTTGGCTTTAGATAACTTACCCCATCTATGACTTCGGTGGGATATCTTATTGCATATTAAGAGTCACGTTAGTAACTCGCAAGTTAGGGGTTGAGGTCTAGGAAGAAGAAAGAAGTAATTCGATGAGGTTGTGAACCTTTATCGACTCAGGTGGCTGGGATATGTGTAAATTATACCTGGTCACCATCTGCCTCGTCAGACAATATTGGGTGATGTACCTAGAAAAAGGTTAGAGGCATCCAAACTGAAATATGATATCATCGCATGAAGTCTTTAAATGTTGTTTTAAGCCGTGCAGGGAAAAGTAAACTCTTAGGTTCAATTCATTAGGACAGCTGAAATATGTGGTTGTAGACTCTAGATGATATGGCTCAGAATCAATCTCAATGGTTCAGGAGTATCCACACATTATTTTTCTTATCATAATCGTTATACTGAAATCTAGTAGTCTCTCATTACCCCTTTGTTCCCCTTGGTAACTTTATACCACTTTTAATTACTCTTTATTTCTTTATCTTTTGGTTTGTAACCATACTCAGAAAGGATCCAAATCTAACTACTAAATATATCCTGGTCTCACCCAAGTGGTTTAAGTATTCTCATTCGTATGCAACTGACAAGCAAGATGTTCTTAGACCGTAATGAAACTCTGTAAATACTTTCTGTCTTACAGCTTCTAAAGTAAATCTGGATAATTCAATAAAAAAAAACTTGTTTCTTGCCTGCAATTTTTGCCAAACCCGTATGGATTTGAATAATAGTTGGAGATGCTGATGTATCACAAAATTTCAAGAAATGTCGAAGCTCCTAATAGTTAGTTATAAAAGTACAAAGAAAAGTTGGTGATTATTTCCAGATACCTGGGATGTTAATCCTATGTAATAATTCCTTCCATTCCCTCTGGTTAAAGATGAGTTATTTGAGGTCAAAATGCAGTTGCCAACCAGTACTGGCAGATTGACCACTGAAATACCATATGCTTTTCTTAGAAATGGTCAATGGGGGTGTAGTAGTGTGGATCGTTATGCTTCTTTTGATTCTACTGAAAACGTTTTTATACAAGATTTATTTCGTACTGTATATTACTTCCTTAAATTATGTTGTTTACTCATACTTGCAATTTTCCACTATAAATTGTCGAATTCCTCGACTTCTGCTAGTAGATGGGCTCCTACACAGATACCTCGATGCTTCCCGGATATTCATTATATTTTCATCTATTTGGTGGCTAGCAGTGAAATCTAGAGCGCGGGTTTCATCCTACTTTGGGCTCGTCAACCAGCAAGTGTTGTTCCCACCGGGTCTCAAACCCGGTACCCATTGCTTGGAACCCCAAAGCGCTACCCACTGGGCCACGATAGCCCCCTCTTGTACAACCGGCATCAGTTTGACCCAGTATACCAACTGGAAATTACAAGCATCAATGAACAACAACTGATATAATATTGATATAACAAATCGTAAGAGGCTCTTATCAATCGGCTGTATTGAATTAATCATTCACTTCCGTGCTACGAGCTTGCGTGGATGCAAATCGACCACACAAAGGCTTTTCTGCACTATTACTAACAGTCTTATGTGATTAATGTAAACAAATCCGAATTCTAATTTATCCTTAATATCTGTAACGGTGACAAAATAGTTTTCTTTTATATACTTATTTGTATTTAAAGATCAATCAACTTCAATCTACACGTAGTTCACTTTATGTTGTTTCCTTTTTTATAGACCAACTTGTTCGTGTTGCTGAACTTTTAAAAGACTCTAAAAGTTTTCCACTAATTATTCGACCACTACAGATACACATATCTGATGCGATTATGAATCTTCAAACTTCATTTTTCGACTGGAACAGTCTGTAAGTCTGCTTGTTACACGTAGTTTAATTATTGTATTCTGTTCAGCAGAAATAATCCAACATTATTATAACTGAATGGCTATAGCATTCCATAAAAACTGTTGACAATTGATCTTATATGTACAGCTATCCTTCATCCTACGCGCCACTGACCACCTCTACTCTTCTTCCAACCGGCTCCTGAGCGATGTAGGAGCCACTGAGGCGACAGAGTCATCGAAGTTGGTGTTTCGAGATAATCACACTCAACGAATGATTATTTTCATCATACCCAAAAACATGCCACCTCAGTTCAGAATTGCTTACATGGTGATCCACCTCCCTCCAAAGCTGCAGAAAACCTTGTACATTATCTGACCTGTAAGCGATTAATCTCTATTAGTCACCTAGACGACCCTCCTCTGAGTCTAAGCATCCGACCTGTGCATTCAAGTCTTCAGGTAGCACTGGGATACATGAGCACACTCAACAGCAAAATTCATTCAGTTGGTGATCGGACTCATCTATAATTGCATCTGGGCTGCAGTCAATCGGAGCACAGTCAGCGACATCGGGAAGACATAGTTTCTGTTGTCACTTTTTCCTCATTGTAGCCGAATCTTCCAACCTAACCATATACATATGACTGTTAGTGGCGATCCAGTAGACTAGTGCAGCGTCAGCTCTGACACAAGTTGATAGCAAGACCGACTGCTGATGCCGCAGGATCGCTACATAAGCACGCGCTAAATAAACTCTTCGAAGCACTACACTGGTATCTTTCAGGAATACAAAATGCTCGCTTGACTTTGACCAACTTACGCCGTTTATGGCGTAGCCGTGATATCCCATTGCTTGTTAATGGCTGTACTTCTCTGTTCTACTGTGCAGCAGTGAAAGGTGGCCGTTTAAGGTAGAGGACACGAGAAGGTTTCAGGTGTTCAATAACCGTTGCCCGCATAACGTAGGCGGTAAGTTTGATGCCACAGTGCCATTAATGTAGAAGTCAGGTGTAGAGTTTTAGAGAGAAAAGGAAAGCCAGTTGATGCGGTTGTGAACCTTCACGGACTGAAGTGTCTTGCACATGTGTTACGCTTGCCTTGTCGCTCAATGCTGGGTGAATTAGAATAAGTCTAGAAAAGCGTTAGAGGTGATGAGACTGAAACATGGCATCATTGCATGAAGTACTTGACTGTTGGTCTGAGCTGCATAGGGTAATGTTGGCGTGCCTGTTAGGGTCTGTGCGACAATCGGTAATCTATCTCAATGGTGCAGAAGTATCCATATACTATCGTCATACTGAATCCCAGTATTTTGTCATTCCTCCTCGCTCTCTTTTGATGATTTTCTCCCTTTTTTTGACTGTTTATCACCAAGCTACTCATGTATTAAGTGAGTAGAAATGCTCAGCATCATACCACTTAACGTTATTAGATACTGGAGCGAGCAGTTTCTTCGCATACTAAAGTCTCATAGAGAGTTCAACGTTTGAAAATCAAAACAGGTAACATAGCTTAGCGAAATCTGTTTGTATGTATCGTGCCTTTTGCTAAACTTTTATCAGTTAATAGTAAATACGTGTTTGTGTATTTAGAGTAGTTGATATCACTGCCCAACAATTTGTCTCTGTTGTATCGCTTTGAGCTTATAAAAGAAAATTATACCGAAAGAATGTTCTCTCTCTCTCCCTCCCCCTCCCTCCCTCTCTCTCTCTCTCTCCATCTTGACGATTGGCCGATGTTCTGGTTGTAACCCCAGTTTGAATCTTCTCTTGGGTCCTGTGATTAATGGACTAAGGGGAATGCTTAAACACTTGTCCTAACTATTATTATCCCTTGAATTATTGTATTCGAGTTAATCCAATGGCCAATCACATCAACCCAGGTGACTCAGATAGGACAAATTCAGGCGGCTAGCTCCACTATGCAAAATATACGATAAGTAGACAAGGCCTTAGAGCGTAGGCGGCCTAATCAGAATGTACGTACACGTACATTATGGATTGGTTGAGGCCCTCATTCTTTCTGGCTACGGATACAATAGAGATCAATTTGTGACTCACTTTTGACATTTGTTAGATTATCTCTTTATCGATCGGACTGAAAAAACTGTGGTACTTGTTTGATATGAATTAAACAGAGTAAAAAACATAAAATGTAAAGTTTAGAAACTTTTAGACATACTGCTACCGTAGCACTGAACAGAGTGACTTGAATAGAGGTTAACTTAGTTATTTGTTCTTTACAACTTCATCATAATAAGTTTTTCTTGAAATCAAATACGATCCCCTCCGACTGGTCTAAGTCACTCATCATCCCAGTCTTCAAGAAAGGCGAGAAGTCCTCTTGTGATAACCACAGAGGAATCAGCCTGACAAACATAGTGTCTAAGATCCTAAGTTCTATAATTCTCCGACGCCTGAGTGGAGCTCGGGAACAGCAAGCCCGAGAAAACCAGGCAGGCTTTAGACCTGGCCGTGGATGTATCGACCAAATATTCACACTGCGCCAGGTCCTGGAACATAGGCATGCTTACAGACGCCCGACAATAGCTGTATTTCTCGACCTGAAGGCGGCATTTGACTCCGTTGATCGAGAAGTCTTATGGCAGTGTCTGTCACTGAAAGGCGTGCCTAGTAAGTACATCACCTTATTGAAAGCTCTCTACTCGAACACTTGTGGGCATGTTAGAGCCTATGGTGAGTTGTCCAGGGAGCTATACTCATCAAGTGGTGTCCGTCAAGGATGCCCACTATCCCCATTCTTATTTAATTTTATCATAGATATTCTTATGGAGGTTTCCCTCTCGTCACCTAATTACAAAGACGTTGACCGGATCACAGGTGAATTTTCCTTAGATCTAGAATATGCAGATGACATAGTCCTGTTAGGTGAAGACGCTGACAAGATGCAGAGTCTTCTGAACACTTTGAGTGGGAATTTGAGAATGTTTGGGATGCGATTTTCACCACCCAAATGCAAATTTTTGCTCCAGGACTGGTCTTCAGCGGTACCGCGGTTAACAATAGAGAGTGAAGTGGTTGAGTGTGTTGACCACTTCACTTACCTGGGAAGTAGGATCAACTCCGGTGGGTTAGTTGCCGATGAGATTTCTGCACGGATACAAAAGGCTCGATTGGCTTTTGCCAATTTGCGCCACCTATGGCGCCGCCGTGATATTCGTTTGTCTATTAAGGGTCGCGTGTACTGCACAGCAGTCCGCTCTGTTCTACTGTATGGCTGTGAAACATGGCCATTGAAAGTGGAAGAGACAAGAAGGTTACAGGTGTTTGACCACCGTTGCCTTCGTAGTATAGGACGTATTCCGTGGTGTCACCATGTGAGTAATGCAGAAGTTAGGTGTAGAGTTTTAGGGAGAAGAGGTAAGTCAGTCGACGAGGTTGTGAACCTTCATCGACTGAGATGGTTGGGACACGTACTACGTATGCCTAGTCACCGATTGCCTCGTCACACAATGTTGGCTGAGGTGGGTTCAGGCTGGAAAAAGGCCCGAGGTGGCCAGACTAAAACATGGCACCAATGTATGAAGTCTCTGACTGTTGGTTTAAGCCATGTAGGACGATGCAGACTAGGTGGTTGGGGTCCACGGGACAAGAGGAACCAGTGGTTGGAGACCCTAGGTGATATGGCTCAGAACCGAAGTCAGTGGCGCAGATGTATACACACATTATCCTCATCTTAACAACGCTATACCGAATCTCACTATTTTGTCACTCCTCTTTCCTTTCTTCTCGTACTTTATATTTCTTTTGACTGCATTCACTTATCTTCATCCTTCACCTCACTACCTTTTTACTTGATGTGCTGATATGAGGTGTGGCAACTCGGACCGTTACGCAGTAATGCCTGGTCCTATGTTGATAATGATGATGGTGATGATTTTCTTGAAAGTAGAATGTAATGTGATGTAGTGGGTGAGACTAGGCAATAACTAATTATTTAAATTTCTACCAATCTGTTTTGATTTCAAAGTAGTTTTATTATAGTTTGACGTCAGATGAATACCAGGGGTCGCTGGAAGGCTGTTTTAACCTAATGACGGACTCCTCAGCAGTACACTCTTACAATCCCATATGCGACCAAGACCGAGACTGTTGGATCTGTTACCCAGTTGTGAATTCGCAACTCAGTATGTTTGTCATCTGAAAAAGTCTGTTTTGATGTGCATCTTGATTAACCCTAACAATCATGGTTTCTCGTTAGGACTTCTCAAAGTCGTTAATGAGCCCTTGCTCGTTATCGTTGAGAGATCATGTTCAAGATGGTCTCTTACAGTCTTCCTAAAATCGGGCCGTTCATCTAGAAAACAAAAACTGTCGATGGGTTAATACGCCACTGATTGATGATAATGTATCAGGTTATGCATATCAAAACTACATTCTATGAACTCACTGTGTAGTATGGAGCACTCAGTTTTCAATCAATGGGTTATGGGCCTAAACTCCACTCCCTCTATCTTGGCTTAGGCAACTGGTTAGTATCATAAACCCTCTCATGGACCTAAGGGTAGTTTAGAGGCTGGCGCATAAACTTGTACTGAGTTCATTTATATTATTGCTCACATCTTTTCACTCATTTGTTCAAGGCAACACTTTTGTAGCTAAAAAAATGAGTTATTTAGTTTCATTAGCAAGGGTTATTTGTTAGTATTTTGCAAACTGCAACACAATTACGTTTTTTCTATAAATTATCACATCTTGTGTATTCTTGACAGTTTTACTGTGAAAAAAACGCTGGTCAGTTCTCATACACTATTTATTTTTAGTTTGAAACACGTTATTTTATTCATCACATGTTTTTCTCTCTGTAGGAAGAACGGTTCAATGATTGCTTAACTGAAAAGTCAAAGGAGTACCCATCTTTACTTTTCAAACTGTTGTTAAACAAGTAAATATCGACAACGACGACGACGACGCTTTGTATCAGTCGATCGATTTTCTCCATTTAAGCGTCATAAGCAACCTTATCTCTATAATAATCATAATGGATTGAAACTGTGGGCAGACAACATTCGTAAAAAGGTAGGGGAAAGTATATATATAGCATAAAGGTTAGTGCGAATATTTTGAAGATGTCAAGGAGTGAATAGATCTGCGCCACCGTGACATAATTTCCAACCACATCACCAAGATTCCTCAACCACTCATTCATTTCGTTTCTGAGACTCCAACCAACTTACATCTCCCAACACGGCTCAGATCAACAGCGGAAGACTTCATCGACCGGTCTCAGGTCTTGGTTCGACCACCCTAAAGCGTTTTCCAACCAAATCCAACTTCCCTAGCATGCCACGTCAAGGTAGACGATGGCTCAGCATGCGCAACACATACCCAAGCCAATTGAGTCGACTAAGGTTCACAACCTCGTCAATCGATTTGTCTGTCTTGTACAGTACCCTTCGTCTGACTTCAACATTGATCACACGGTGTAGTGTGATTCCACCAAACGTGAGCAATACTACGAAAACACCAATGATCAGAACTCTATAATCGCTTCATGTTTTCTACGTTTAACGTCCATGTCTGATAACTGCATAACAGGACAGAGTGAACTGCAGCACAGCATACTGGTCCTCTGATAGATGATCGGATATCTCGCCGGTGCCAGAGATGACGCGAGTCGGCAAATAGCAAACGTGTCTTCTGTATTCCAGCTGAGATTTCGTTAGCAACAAAACCGTTCAGGCTGATGCTACTACTCAAGTGAAGAGGTTAACACATCCCACCACTTTACTCTATCATTAAGCTGGGAGTCATTGCACACTAGTCCTGGAGCATCATCTTACATTTAATATCCCTGATAGATGCATTCCAAACATACACGACTTTCTGCTCAACGCGTTCAAACGACCCTGCATTGTAATAACATCAACAGCCAGGCGGACGATATCGTCTGCACACTCTAAGTCAACTAGGTATGCTTAGTGATTATTGTATTTTTGATGATCCATGTCATGCTTATGGAATGAACAGAATCAGCAACTGCATACTGATTCAACTTCGTGTATTTACTTCCTAATTATTATGCTTATGATCTCGCATTGTTCCGGTGCGATGAAATTCATTAGTTAGTGTCTTGTCAAAATATTTCCATCTGAATGATAACTTTCACTAATGAAAGCCGTCATTTAATGGGTGAGGAAACTAATGTTACTGTTGACATATTTGAATCCTTATTGTAAATTGTTTCGTTTGAGAAAGCATGAATATTTCCGGTGAATGAAACTGAAAATACTGCAAAGAATTTCCGGACTTAGTTGCGTCGCCACACCCTATATGCATCCACTCTGCCATTCAAAGAGAACAAATTCATGCATCTTGTCCCATCAACTCCATCTTGTTCTGCAGATAAGAAACACAACACCATCAAAATCATCCTCCTGAGGTACAAATATTCTTCGTCGTCTCAAGGCAAGAAAAATGTTGAAGAACCACGTGGTTCGATGTCAAGTCGTCAAATGTGTAGCTCAAGTTATACTTTCAGTCATCAAGCTACTTTACTACTTGTGAAGACATTTTCAGTGGTCTTTTTATTGTAAAATGTATCCCAGCGATGGATTGTGTCAATCACTTCACTTTCTTGGGGAGCTGCATCTCTCCAGTGGACTAGTTGCTGACGAAATCTCAGCTCTAAAAGAGAAGGCCCGTTTAGCATCTGGCAGCTTACATCACCTGTCGTGTTGGCGAGATATCTGACTATCTGTCAAAGGACGAGTATACTACACTGCAGTCCACTCTGTCCTGTTATACATTTGTGAAAAATGGCGTTAAAAGTAGAACACATGAAGCTGTTGCAGGGTTTTAATTATAGTTTCCTTCGTAGCATTGCTCGCGTTTGGTGGAATTACCGTGTAAGGAATGTCGAAGTTAGTTGAAGGTTACTAAGCAAGACAGACAAGTCGATTGACGGGGTTTTGAGCTTCAGTTAACTGAACAGGACATGTACTGTGTAAGTTGAACCACTGCCTCCCTCGACGTTCCATGCTGTGAGAAGTTGAATTAGTTTGGAAGAGGGTTCAGGGTAATCAGACCAAGACGTGACAGGAGTCTATAAAGTCCTTGACCAGGGTACCCAAGACGAAAGGAATGAGTGATTGAGGACTGTTAATGACATGGTTGAAGATCGGTCACATTGATGCGGATATATTCAATCTTCGAATTTGTGCAGCGTCAGCTATTTGTAAAGAGCTGGTTCAAACTTCGTCGAAAAGGTTCGATGGGATGCAGTAAATCACTTTGAACCGTTTGTTTTATCCACTCTGGGATAATTATCAGCTAGATGCGACAAAATAGAGTTCCTTTTAAATTAAACCCTTTTTTTTCAGCCACGACGGTAGGTGTTCGTCAGTACATTGGTTAAGTTGCCTAGTCGTACGCACGATATAACTCTCTCCAGAGGGGCAATTATGTTGGTAAATACACATGGAAGTGGCGGAATTCGGTAACATTTTTTTCGTTTGACACAAAACCGATCATCGACTAGAAAACGGTAGACAAGAATTACCTGGAAAGAAGGTTTTTTTTAGCGGTTCTCGATAGTCTATGGAATAGGATCTCTCTAAGTGTATCCCTATTAAGTTGTAGCTTTATGAACAGTTATTGCTTCAGGTCTTCTCCTCGATCTATTCGTATACCTTTTTATAAAGTTGTGAGGATAACCTTTTTCAACTAACAAATTAGAAATGAACTCTTCAAAGTGTAGTCTACGCAGATTTTCCCTGTCAAACATCCCATTAAATTTCTTTTGTTTAGAGAATGTTATTTAAATTAATTTCAAACAACTTTGTTATTCAACTTCACTTTTTAGTATGCTCAAATTCGTGAACCATTTTTGGATGTCATAAAACACTTTTGCACTGATGAACTTTTACGTGATTCATTTGAAAAAAACAGAAATGATGGTAGTGATGTCTGTTGGACTGGTGAAAAGTTGACGAATAGGTAAGAATTGTTGGACACTATTGAATAACATTAAACTTTATGCTTGATATTTCTCCATAACCAATTTAATTTTAAGTTAGTGAGCATACAACGGTTGCTAACGAAATCTCAGCTGGAATACAGAAGACACGTTTGCTATTTGCCGACTCGCGTCATCTCTGGCACCGGCGAGATATCCGATCATCTATCAGAGGACCAGTATGCTGTGCTGCAGTTCACTCTGTCCTGTTATGCAGTTATCAGACATGGACGTTAAACGTAGAAAACATGAAGCGATTATAGAGTTCTGATCATTGGTGTTTTCGTAGTATTGCTCACGTTTGGTGGAATCACACTACACCGTGTGATCAATGTTGAAGTCAGACGAAGGGTACTGTACAAGACAGACAAATCGATTGACGAGGTTGTGAACCTTAGTCGACTCAATTGGCTTGGGTATGTGTTGCGCATGCTGAGCCATCGTCTACCTTGACGTGGCATGCTAGGGGAAGTTGGATTTGGTTGGAAAACGCTTTAGGGTGGTCGAACCAAGACCTGAGACCGGTCGATGAAGTCTTCCGCTGTTGATCTGAGCCGTGTTGGGAGATGTAAGTTGGTTGGAGTCTCAGAAACGAAATGAATGAGTGGTTGAGGAATCTTGGTGATGTGGTTGGAAATTATGTCACGGTGGCGCAGATCTATTCACTCCTTGACATCTTCAAAATATTCTCACTAACCTTTATGTTCAGAGTGTTTATTCTCTTACATGACTTTGTCTGCTTTGACATGGGTGTTTTTCTATCCACCTGTTCTTTGTGTACTTCTTTAAAGTGTCGCAAGTTGAACCGACTCACTTGTGTTCGAGGTTCTTCGTTAATTTTATCTATCTGTCTCATCAACTAGTGTATCGTTCCATTTGTCTAATCGCGACATAGTATGAGAACCAGAGACATAAAATGAATATAAAACGTTATACACAAATGCATCGGTTTAGTTTGCCACACTTCACAAGTAACAGCCAAAGAGCAGGCGGATCAAAAATTTCAATTTGAAGAAATTGGCAATTCTTTGTAGAGAGAAGGTATGTCATTCAGAATAGGGGAAATTTTATGTATTCAGTTTTATTGATCAAACTACGTATAGCTTACTCATGTTATTTCAAACATTCTCCTAGCTTTCTTCTTACTAACTATTTGTTATTGTTTCTTTGCATACTTTTATCTTATTGGCTGACATAGTGTATTGACTGCCAACCATATTAAAATTTGTCATTTTACCTATTGCTCAGGCTACCTAATGTGTTTATTTCTTGTTACGTAACTGATATCCCTTTGGCTCTGCATATATATATATATATATATATATATATATAAAGAGACATGGTATAGTATGTTTTTCTCATTGACCTAGTTAGGCGGTTCTTAAGTATTTCGTTGACAATATCACCTTTGAATTCTAAATTGAGGCAAATCTTCTTTCTTGGCATGGTAGTTATGTTGAAATATTTTTGATCTGCCTGCTGTTATACTCTATAATACATGGTGGATACCCGTTTTCCATGAGGTTTTGTTTCAGCTAGTTTAGCTCGTCCTCTACACTACCTTCTGTACAGATGTTTTGGATGCGTGGTGAGAGAGAACCAACTAAATTTCTTTTCCTTGTTATTTGTTTCATTCTCTCTCATCATGCGTCGGAAAAATGTCTACAGAAGGTAGTGTGGAGGATGAGCTAAACCGATTGAAAGAAAACCCCATAGAAAACAGGTATCCGCCACTTTTTATGGTAGACAGATCAGGAAATGTTTTCACATCACAACCGTGCCAAGAAAGAGAGTCTGCATTATTTTAGGATTTAAAAGTGACATTGCAGACGAAATTCCTAAGAACCATCTAATAAGATCAATGAAAAAAACGTTCTATGCTGCGCCTCTAAGATTAGCCTATTCCAACTGCCCTTGATTATCCAATCTGATGTTCACCTGCTCTTGTGGAGCTAGGTGCATAAGACGCTCATCGGGAAACATTTCCTGTCACGTTCGAGAGCACTTTCCAGTATGTCTGCGCAAAAGGGGGAGAGTAGAGGTATAAGTTTCTCAATCCTCCTACATGTAGTTGACTACAACCATGCAACCTTCGAATCATATGACATAATATGGTAGGTCAAATCAAACTCATCGAAAGGTACACATACGCACACGCCTACTTTGTATCATCATCATCATCATTATCAACATAGGACCAGGCATTACTGCGTAACGGTCCGAGTTGCCACACCTCATATCAGCACATCAAGTAAAAAGGTAGTGAGGTGAAGGATGAAGATAAGTGAATGCAGTCAAAAGAAATATAAAGTATGAGAAGAAAGGAAAGAGGAGTGACAAAATAGTGAGATTCGGTATAGCGTTGTTAAGATGAGGATAATGTGTGTATACATCTGCGCCACTGACTTCGGTTCTGAGCCATATCACCTAGGGTCTCCAACCACTGGTTCCTCTTGTCCCGTGGACCCCAACCACCTAGTCTGCATCGTCCTACATGGCTTAAACCAACAGTCAGAGACTTCATATATTGGTGCCATGTTTTAGTCTGGCCACCTCGGGCCTTTTTCCAGCCTGAACCCACCTCAGCCAACATTGTGTGACGAGGCAATCGGTGACTAGGCATACGTAGTACGTGTCCCAACCATCTCAGTCGATGAAGGTTCACAACCTCGTCAACTGACTTACCTCTTCTCCCTAAAACTCTACACCTAACTTCTGCATTACTCACATGGTGACACCACGGAATACGTCCTATACTACGAAGGCAACGGTGGTCAAATACCTGTAACCTTCTCATGTCTTCCACTTTCAATGGCCATGTTTCACAGCCATACAGTAGAACAGAGCGGACTGCTGTGCAGTACACGCGACCCTTAATAGACAAACGAATATCACGGCGGCGCCATAGGTGGCGCAAATTGGCAAAAGCCAATCGAGCCTTTTGTATCCGTGCCGAAATCTCATCGGCAACTAACCCACCGGAGTTGATCCTACTTCCCAGGTAAGTGAAGTGGTCAACACACTCAACCACTTCACTCTCTATTGTTAGCCGCGGTACCGCTGAAGACCAGTCCTGGAGCAAAAATTTGCATTTGGGTGGTGAAAATCGCATCCCAAACATTCTCAAATTCCCACTCAAAGTGTTCAGAAGACTCTGCATCTTGTCAGCGTCTTCACCTAACAGGACTATGTCATCTGCATATTCTAGATCTAAGGAAAATTCACCTGTGGTCCGGTCAACGTCTTTGTAATTAGGTGACAAGAGGGAAACCTTGAGGGTGCAGAATCTTAAACCACAACTATGTGTACAGAAACAGTTTGTACGACCTCTTTCACTACCCTAGACCTAGGTAATCGTTTTGATCACATGATTCATAGCAATTTCACTTCTCTTCATCCCTATCATATCACACTTAGTCTTACTGATATTCACATTTGTTGTTTCATGTAATCTTCACCTAACTACTTTGAAATGAAATCACGTCATATTGGTTTATTCATTCACCTCCTATCTCACTTCTTTGAGCTTTAGTCTCCTATAATCTTTCAGTTATGATATGATGATATGTTATTCTCACTCATATTCATGCACTTTACAATTCCACTTACTGTAAAAATGAAATACAAACATATATATACTTGAACAATAACCTTGGTGGTCGCTCATTTCCCCGGTAGTTGGGAAGGCAGGTAAGATAATAAAAAGTGCATTTCAGCTAGTCAAACCAGTAGGAATATTTGTTTTTTGAGGTCCTACCATTGCAGAAAGGTCTGTATGGTGGTACGACAAGAAGCAGTTATTGTAATAGTAATGATTACTGCGTTATGATGGGGTCTGTGGGTGAAGTCGTACTACTAGCTGAATGAGAGATTGACAACAGTAAGGATGATCACCAGAGCCATGCTAATTCTGGTCTCCCTATAGCAAGGGGAGGGGTAATAAAGATCGAGCACTAGTACTACAGCCAGGCTATACTATAATGCCTATGTATTCAGCCTACCAGTTAGCCATTCATTCGTCTATCGCCGATTACAATCAATCAGCGATTACTTTATAGCAGAATATTCTATTTACACAAAAGCACATGTTTCCTGTATCAATATTCTCTACAAAAGCAACCTAATAAATGTCAACATCACCACGCTATTCAATCCAGTTATCGGATTACTCATAGGGTTTATAAGCATCACGTAGCCGAATACAGAACTGTTTTTGAGATGTAGTTGATTCACTTAGATACTTGAATTTCAAGTAGCATATCGTGGACTGTAGGGCTGTAACTCATTGTCTTAGAGAGTCGAATTTCAACCAAAGGATCATGCGTTCGAACACCACTCCACTTACCGAGGTTTGGGCAACCAGCCGTTACACAGCAAGTGTGGCTCATTGCCTACTGTACGAATGTGCACAAGGCTGCTGAGTACATTCCGATATCCTGGGTGTAAATCTCGCTCATTCACTTTGGTCTGCAAAAGGTGAATGGTATCATAAATTCCCAGAGGTTGTGAGCCATAACTTAGTAAATAACCTTTTATCAGGTTACTGAGTTACAACGACACGCATAATTGAAAACTCCAGTGAAACTCGAAGTGTGATTTCGGAAGGAAATGGCGGTCAGCCATCACAGGCCATCGTATCATTGAGAGTGGGATGATCCTGGTTATCCTTTCCAAGTGCTTTCATACGACCATGCATTCACAGTCTTTGCCAACGAAGTCCAACTTACTTCATTCACATGGTAGGACATGTTTCCACAAAATTGAAAGGGTAAAAGTGAATATTCGGCGCTATCATCGGATAAGTTACACGTGGGAGAGTTTGAAAACGTTTTAATATGTGCTGTATCTCAGGGACCCGCACTCAAGATCTCAGTGTATTTACCGCGCGCTTATACGGGGAGCTTAGACTTTGATGATACTTTAGTTTGCCTTAAGTTCATCTTTTATTTTGATAGTCATCAAAATTGTCTTCCGAGACAGCTCGATGTTAGCAAATTGTTTGAACCTATTATCGTAACTAAATAGCAGACCAAGCTAGATAGGAGGCTGACTATTGAACCTACGGAAAGTATAGATGAACTCTGGCTGCACTTACATGATGCTATAAAAACGACGAGTAAAGTTGGGTTTAGTTATGAAGAACGTCCGGCCAATTGACACTGCGTCTCTGTGAGCTCCTTGCAACTTCTTGAGTTAGTGCATTGGTGTGTGTAAGTCCCTTACGTGAAAGAGGAGATGGCGTTTGTGTAAGCACGGTGGGACCTGGCGGTCAGAATGTGCGAGTGAGATGGAAGGAGACGCTGCATTTGGCAGTAGTCTGAAGCTATCCTAGCCACTGAAAGCAAGAAGTCTGATGTCAGTGAAATGGTCCGTAAAATAAAAGGTAAGCTGGTCACAAACTTTCATAGACGCTTGATGGAGCACTTCAACGAGCAGTTTGGCTTGGCCACTAGTTCAAAAACACCGAAATTAATTTCTTATGCTTCATGATCATGTAACACTGACTGTAAGATTCACCCGAATAGACGCTCTCGAGAGTCGTTTAAAGTCAAGATTGTCAAACCAACTCTTCTAACGAAGCGGAATATGCAAAATAATCCAAGTTCTTAAGCATGATAAGGCATTCGAGTTAGAAAGCTTACTTCTCTGCTCTTTTAAGGACGAGGCAGGGAATGTAGTCAGGGGACCAACTGCATTGTTTGACAGGCTATAACAGACTATATTCCATCATTCTGGAATGAAGCCATTTTTGTACCATCTGTAGCCATCTGCTGCCAGTAGCATCTGAAGTATTGGTTGCTACCACACTTCGCAAGCTGTACACAATACATGAGATACTGATCTGCGAGGAGCAGATTGGGTTTCGTTCAAGTTGTGAATGCATTGATCATATGTTAACTCCTCACTAAATATTCGAAAACTATCACATGTATTACAGTTTAGAGACCGTTGTTTATCGATATTAGAACTTTCTTTGGTTGGTTGGACGAGGTTTTAGTCTCGACTGGTCTGTTGGAGGTGGTTATATCTGAAAAGTTTGTTAACATTGATTACTCCTAATGAAGTCTAGGTCTGTCGAACGTATCTCTCAATAGCTGTGAAACAACTACATTCAAACAGGCCATCAAACACTGGGCGGGCAGACATCATTATCTATAGGTAAATACACTCTGGAAAAAGGTTATACGATTGATCCTGAGACGGCCTTTCGTTCGGTCACTATATAGGAGTCGTCAGAATCGTGTTTATTTAAGCTTAAGCTATACAAAAGTTTGAAACCCTCTTATTTATGGCTGGTAAAAGTCAGTTGAAACAGGCTACAGTTTCCAAAGGTTTTACTGTTGATTGTTCAGTGTCCAATTGGTGAGTGGTAGTCTCTGTTCATATCATGTCAACTGAACAAATATCAAGTTCAAAAAACTCTGCCGCATCCTTGTACCCTGTTGTTTGACGGTTAATGATGCCACTTGGTCTATCCCAGCCCATCGATAAGTAAGGCGGTGTTCGAACCTGTGACCTTATGGTTGGAAGTTAGCTAATTGCCCCCTGAACCAATCAGCCACAGCTCCACACAGAACAAATATTCAGCAATTGATAAGTGTACATAGTTGTCTAAATTGATTACTTGATGCATGTCACAAATAGTCTTAGTTCTTGTTGTAACGGGTTAAATCTAATTCGTTTCTAATTGGAATTTATAATATCCGTTTACGAATTGAGTAAACACAATGAAAGAGTTTGGAACAAAAATAACTTTTCAGTTGTGTGGTGTGTTTGGTAATCATTTTGCGGGAGCTGTGGCTTATTGGTTTAGGTCATGTTTTCAACCCCTCGATCCATCTACCGAGGTTTGAGCAGCACAGGTAGTGACAAATTCTCTGGTTCACATATGTGCATAATCTTACTGAGTACACTTCTTTCGCTTCTCAATAATTTTGCGCACTTAAAAAAATACGAACTAATTGTTACAGCAATCAACTTTCGAGAGTTTGAACCTCATCCCATGTAGAGTACTGTTATGCTTCAGATGTACATCTTTGTATATATATATATATATATATATATATATATATATATGTGTGTGTGTATGTATGTTTTCGTTCACTTTTAACGGATTCTCTCTTTCCTTTAGATCACATATGACTGACAAGTCAACTATCAATGAATCAATTATTTATACAGATTTTGAAACTGATCATGCTATCAGAAGTCTACAACGTATGACTGAAATGATTCACTCAGTTATTGAAAACAATGAAGATCCTGATTATATGTTAATTGAAGAAATCAATTCTACAAATGAGAGTGATAATCTTGACAATCAGTTATCGGGTTATCCAATGGTCAACTCGGTAAGAGCAATCAGGTCCATCTGATAATAATAATAATTATATTGTTATTATTGTTCATTTTACTGTGATTCCATATGTTTCACTTTATATTCAGTCTACTTGGTCTGAAATTAAACAACAGCATTATTTTCAGCATAAATGGAATTCTTGATATTTTGTTGATATACTACCTGTAAATTCCCCGTTGTTATAATACTGAATGGAATTAATCGACTTCTTTTGGCGTATGGGCCCTTGCGTAGACGCCTAGGTACTGCCTAATCATTCTGTTGTGCTGTAATTCACTTGGTGGTGGTGGTGATGGTTAGCAGTCGGATCCAGGACGTCTATTTTATTCTATTTGGGACTCGTCAACCAGATGTCCCTACCTTCTGGTGAGTAATAATGATGTTCCCACTGAAATTTCAACCTCATTTCCATCACTCTAAACACACAAGCATTATCCACTAGGCTACTGAGGCAGTGGAGCCAATTTTTATTATTACTTATTGATCTCTGTGATTTCCTGTTGCTATGCCTTCATGGTCTAGTGGGAAACGCTTTCACGTTTGATACAAAGTTCTAATCTCAATGAGAACGCATTCATGCGTTTTCTAAGTTCCTCTGCTAGCCACCACCAAATAGATCTATCATCAGTATCGCCTACGGAATAGATAATTAAATGATAATCGTGAAAAAAAATTTAACATCATTTGGTGCATGGAGAACGTTGAAAATTCCATTTCAAGTTTTTGGAGAATAATATGAAATTTGCTCATAATCATATCAATGTAATCATATCACTTTCAACAATCGATTTTTATAGTTCTGTCACTTCATACTCTTTGTTTTTAGTGGTAGTAAACGTTTTTCCACATCTCTGGTATAGAAAGATGTTGCATCATTCCTATTACATGTGTTGGGTGTTGGTTGGTTCGATGAACAAAGATTCAGTGTAATCAATCTACATCTCCCTCCACTTGATTATATTAGACTTGAGAGAGTGGTTTTATCTCACCGTGTTGTGTGAGGTTGCATGTTAATGCTTGCATGCATTGCAATAGTCAATTGTTTTTCTAGATTACTCATCTTATTCGTGTCTGTCATTCTATATTTATGTTCGGCTAATCTAACTGATCCCGATCGGCTAGTTTAACCAATGTCCTTGACTTTGCAATTATTACATAGAATTTGATAGATGAGATTACTTTGCTGAACTGGTTCTATCGGATCTCTATAAGGCAGTCGACGAAGCTTATCTCTGAATGAGTTTGTAGGCTTAAATGCCACCTAAATTCCAGCGTTGATTGGAATCCGACGTAAAGTTTCTGGTGTAACACAGTGGAGGCTTTGAACTTATTTCGAAAGGTCATCAAGTACATAATACTGTACCACTGCGATATATATCAGATCAACAAATCTAATATGGAATTACATCCTACCACATTTCCTGTTTTACACTTTTATTGTATGCTTTTCAATGACTATGATAAAATCCGAGAAATATACTACGAAGCTGAAATATAAGTAGTTAAAAACCGTTCATACTAATCTGCAGGTTGTCCGTTAGTGGATGACACGTTTTTTGTGTTTCTTTCTTAAAAATGTTGCTTTTGTGGTGTCTATCGGAAAACCTTTTAATATTACAGTTGGGCAGTTAAAAAAACAAACAAAGTAATCTTCTTTGACTAATGTCCACGTGGATCGTGCAGCTTACCAACAGTTTGCTTTGGTAATTGATTATCATCATAGAAGTGGTTGCGCAAGCCTGCCAAGACAAGACATGCCGAACAAAGTTGATGAGTGGGTGAGACATACCACTTATTAAAGAAAATTAAACTAATTTTAATATACCCACGCCCTACATTGAGCGTATTTCGTAACCTGAAGATGGCATCCGAATCCATAGATTAAGAGGTCTTATGGCAGTGTCTCTCATTGAAATGGGTACCGAGTAATTCATCTTTATGTGAGAAGGCTGTGTACTCGAACATGAGTAGGTGTGTTAGGATTTACGATGAGTTATCGACTGAGCTGTGTATGTCGACTGGTGTCTGTCAACGATATCAACTCTCTTCTTTCCGAATCAACTTTATCATAGACGTTCTTATTGTTGTCACCTCATTGTGTGACTTCAGAGGGATTAAACTAATCACATACGAATACTTGGTAGATGCGGAGTACATAGATGATGTAATCATGCTAGGTGAAAACGCCGACAGGATGCAGGATCTTCTGAACACCTTGAGTGGCAATTTGAGAAAGTTTGAGGTGTGTTCCTCACTACCTAGACGCTAATCGTTACTCCAGGGCTGGTCTCCAGCGATGCTCTGGCTAACAATATGGAGTGAAATGGTTAGGCACCGTGATCAATTTACTTACATGGGAAGTCGGATCAGCTCTGATGGGTCAGTGGCTGACGAAATCTCTGCACGGATATAAAAGGTCCAACTGGTTTTCATCAACTGACACCATCTGTAGCACCGCCTCCATAGCCGATTGTTTTTTAAGGATCGAATGTACTGTGCTGCAGTTGACTCTCTTCTATAATATGGCTGTGAAACATAATCATTAAAGGTAGAAGATATGAGAAGTTTTCTCGGTTTTGACCACTGTTACCTTCGTAACATGGAGTGTTTATCGTGGTGTCAGTACATCAGTAAGGCAGAAGTTAGGAGTAGAGTTTTAGGGATGAGAGGAACGTCGGTTGATGCGTTTTTGAACCGTCGTCGACTGAGGTAGTTGGGGAATTCTTAGTCATCATCTGCCTCATTGCACAATATTTTGCCAAGGCAGATTTAGGCTGGAAAGAGGTTAAAGATAGTCAGACTAGAATATGGCATCATTTCATGGAGTTTCTAACTGTTGACCTAAGTCATGTAAGGAGATTCAGAGTAACCGTTTGGTGTCCACGTGACAGCAGAAACCAGTGATGGCTCAGAATCGATCTCAGCGGTGCAGATGTATTTCAATTTAGTGAACTTATATTCCCAATGTGTTTTTTTTTCTGTTCAGTTATAACCGATAAAACAAAGACTTTTAGGTGAAAAGTGGATTGCAGTTTGACTTGTGTTTTAATTCATTGTAAATATTTCACTTTAGCGATTTGACTATTTGATTGGCAACCACAGAGTTATATATGCTAATCGCTTGTTGCCTAGCTCGTAACAGGTGGTGGTGCTTAAGCAACATAGCCTAGTAAACGAAAAACTTTCGAGTTTACTATGCCTTGTCATAGTTTTGTAGTGTTGTTTCATGTTTTCATTATTGTTTGTGTTCTTTAAAGAAACAATATTATTTTCAATTTATGTTTTAGAATGTGTATACTACTAATGTAATTTCTTTAATATTTTTACCAGTTAATGTCAAACAAAGAAAGTAAACATATGTTGACAAAATTGTCTGATTCGGAACTTCTATATCCACGTCGAATATCTCTTAAAAATAACAGTAGTACAGATAATGCATTTTTGCCCTATATGCAATCAAATCGTTCGTCTAATCGTTTCACTTTGCATTCCACCTTGTTACATGAAAATCATCCTTCTCAAGATGTTAATATCGATGGATACGATAACTCAGGTACTTCCCCTGAACTCATCAATTATCAAAGTCGTGTTCCTTGGTTTTCTGATGATGAAGATGTTTCCACCTTGAACGAGGTTAGTAATTCACTTTTAGTAGTATTCTTGTTACCTATGTGGGTTGTCTCAAATTTCACTGATATGTTGGAAAAAGTAGAATTTCACCTTAGCTTGTTATCTTTCTCAATATACACACTACAATGCTAGCCAACGGTAAGTCAGCTCCTAGACTTAGTCGTGATACGATATCACCATCTTCAACACTACAGGTACGTCCAGCTGACGAGTCCCAAGTAGGACGAAATGCGCATCCTGGATTCCACTGCTAGCCACTATCCATCCATGATCGGAAGAGAGAGCTGTTATTATCTCAATAGTTGATAAAAGTGATTCGAAACATTCGAGTGTGTCGACACAAAGATTTTGACCTTGTCCACAATTGAAAATAATGACGCATTGAAATAAAGTCAAACCGGCAATAAAGTACTGTTAAAAATTATTGTGAAAAACTTACTACTAGATATGGGATAATAAAGGACACGAAAATAGTGAATTCGAATTCATGCAACAGTAAAATAGGTTACACAAGCATATGTCGAGGATTCATGGCAGTTTTGAGTTTTTAATGGTTGTATGTTTATTGCGTACCTTATTCGCACTGTTTCCCAATTTTTATCAGTGTTCAATGGTGTTTGTTTGTGAGAAATCACTTAATTACCTATTCCGTTTATCATTGAATATATTAGAAAATTCTCTTAACAGTTTACAAGTTTTGATCACAGGTATCTTTCGTAGAATTGCTTGCATATGATAGAATCGCGCTGTTAATAATTTTGAGGTTAGGCGAACGGTACTAGCAAATGAAAGCGAGTTAGTCTATAAGGTTATGAACCTTCATAAACTGAAGTAGCTTATGGACATGTGGTGCACATGCCCAGCCACCGACTACCTTGACGTGCAGTGCTATGAAAGGCTGGGTCAAGTTGGAAAAAAGCTCAAGATAGTCAGACGAAAACGTGGCATCCTTGACTGTTGGTCTGATGCGTGTGGGGAGGTGCAGACTGCCTGACCCGGAGTCTCCGAGACGATGGCAATCAGTGTTTGAAGACTTTTGGTGACATGACCGAAAACCGGTCACACTGGTGCAGATGTATTCATTCCTTGACGTCGTCTAAAGCTTGGACATTTTCACCAGCCTTTTTTTAAAATTCTCTCTCCTACCATAAACCTTTGTATTCTACTATTAAAGTGTGGCAACTTGAACCGATGCATTTGTGTGCGAGGTTCTACGTTGATTTTATCTCTTTATCATAACAGTATACCTGGTTATTTCCATACAATAAGTGCTTTTCCAGAGGCCTATATGTGTATTGCATACTTACAACCATATAATGCATACAAGTAATGATCCTTCTGGCCACATTATCTGCTTCCTTCTTCTTCAGTATGAGTCTTTAACGGAAGTTCATAACCAATAAGTATCTTTAGAATAGGGCTTACCTACCCTTGTCAATGAATATTGGTAGTTTCGTTACCTGAAAATGTCTTTACTACTTGTTGTCCCACTATATCTGATCAACACTCTTATAACCCCTGGTGGTGACTAAACATTATCCACTTTTTCATGCAGAGATAACAAAATTTGCGACTTCAAAATACATTTAATTTGAATAGGAAGTAATTTTCATCATGGATTGACTTCAGTTGAAGGGCTTTTAAAATTCTCGAAGCACTTGAACAAACGTCTCATTCCAGTGCATGACTCTCCAACTTGATCCTGCACAAGATCATGGGTGCCTACTGTTGAAGTTTTCAAAACTAGGAAAAAACTATAGCTCACTCATACTCTAAATAGTTCCTTCAATGATGTCAGTCTGTGATATAAACTACTTTCAAATCAGTCAATCCCTACAAACTACCAGCTGAATTCGCTTTGAATCGTTTAACTCAACCTCGTCATGTAATATTTGGTTAGTTAACTTCTGAGAAATATATATTTCGGTAACAGGTTTATTGTTGCAAAAATAGTAGTAGCACTTCAGTCTCTCATCAAGAAATACGTTGGGACAATAATAAATAAATATTTTATTCTTAAATTATGAATTTAACATGAGAGGAGTCACGTTACAGGCATCATCAAATCGATAATCATAGAGAAATCTACAACATTTGAGCTGTTTTGAATGGTACAGAAGGGAGGACATTAAACTCTATCATAATATTAAGTGTCTGCAAGTTATGAAAAAAGCAGGAGCGTATCACTTTTCAGTACATATACTCCGTTTATGAGTTTAGATTATTCCCACTCACCATTCTTTATTCATACCCTAAAGTGGCACCAAAGTCGCGCAATATTCGATGTTTGTAATACAAGTGACAATGTATGAAGTCTCTGACTGTTGGTTTAAGCCATGTAGGACGATGCAGACTAGGTGGTTGGGGTCCACGGAACAAGAGGAACCAGTGGTTGGAGACCCTAGGTGATATGGCTGAGAACCGAAGTCAGTGGCGCAGATGTATACACACATTATCCTCATCTTAACAACGCTATACCGAATCTCACTATTTTGTCACTCCTCTTTCTTTTCTTTTCGTACTTTATATTTCTTTTGACTGCATTCACTTATCTTCATCCTTCGCCTCACTACCTTTTTACTTGATGTGCTGATATGAGGTGTGGCAACTCGGACCGTTACGCAGTAATGCCTGGTCCTATGTTGATAATGATGATGATGATGAATACAAGTGACTGATATGTTTGACTTGTTAGTGTAGTTCCATGTTTCGTCAGATGAACACCTATTTTAACATTAATTCACATGTTAATAGCATCATGGACCAAGAAGAACTCACTTCAATGATTTCAAACATTAGTAAGTGTTTGCATAACCATGTAACCCACGTAGATATCTAAGTTCAAACATTTCCCACTCGTCCTGTTACCTCATATAGTAATGTAGATATAGACCATTAGAATTAGTTGATGTAGTGCAAAAGAAAAAATACATTAGAAAGACTATTGTTCAGTAGTGATGGATTTTTAATATACAATTCACAGTGAAGTATGCAGTATTATCGACGAGGTATGTTGTCTGTTAATCATCTTCTATCATGCGAAGTCAAATGATATAAAGTACTAGAGGTATCTGTTGTGTAGGTCTGTTTGCGAATAGATTGCATTTGGAGTCACCGGATAAACTGATATCTTAGATTTAATTGTTTGTCCACATTTTCAGTGCCGTTATGACCGTCTAGAAATCTTAAACCAGTTAGTGTAGTTATTGTTTCGTATATGGTAGCATTTAAGATTTTGGTAAACAGATGAATTCATTGTGGAAAATCAATGAGAGCAAACCAGTTGAAGATTTTTTTTCTCCAGTAATTTCTAATATCACATACGAGATAGTATTTTCATTCAATTGATACATTTTTTGGTCGAAATCATGCTTAAGGTTTTCTTTTCAAGCTTATGTTGAGGAAAGAAGAAAAAAAAGGAGGTTATGATATTTCGTTACTGGTTTTCCCTTCAAGTCTATTTTATGTCAGCTGAGGAAGGAATGTTTTCCACAACATATACAGCGATAAAACTATCAGATCATTGTGATTTTTTTTTTCGCTTCACTTTTAGCATTCATTAATGACAACATCGAACCATTTGAGATCTAAAGTGTCATTAGATATTCAGACCAAGGTTTTCACATCATCTTCAACTGATCAAAACATAATCAGTAGTGACCTGACAAAAGTTTCATCACAATTTGACGAAAATCGTTTTTCAACATCTTACCTTCTAAGCAAACAGTGGATTGAAACGGATACAGTTCCATATATCAATCCACCACAATCTCTATGGTTTCCATCTGCTAAACACAGAAAAATAATATGGATACATGATACTAATTGTGGAATTATTCTAACATGGAATGTCTTTACTCTGAATTACTGTATTTATCTTATTTGTGTATATTTCAAATGGCTAACTGGTATTTATTGTTGATATACGCTTTTTATTCATATTGTACACCTGAATTTCATTCAACTGTCATTTCTATTGTCTGTGTGTTGTGTGCATGCTTCGCCATATTGAAGATGGTAGTTTGATGTTTTTTGATAATTTGTCGTGAAAGTCCCATCATTATCCTTATTGACCTCTTCAACATTAACTTCATAAAGAAGTTTTTTCCATTATTTCAAGAAAAATTTCTTACAATTTATCAAAGGAGTCAGATAAGCATCATTTGTCTGCATCATATAAGTTACCTTGAAAACCATAACATGGTAATTTATCGAACGAAGGGACAGCGTTAACCGCCCGCTACAACTCTACTCAGACAACCGCTTATTTCTGTCCAGCACAAAATTCTGATATGAGGTTCGTCAATCCCAACTCGACGGTGAGCAGTTATAGGTCATATTGCTATGTGTTACCGGCGGGAGTTTGATGCTGCTTCTGTAGCACTCGGTTGAACGCGTATGTCTGCTCCTAAATGAACTTAGAAAACCACAAAGCAAACAATCATTGCGAGTGCAAGTCAGATATGAGAGTACAAGGGGGCTATCCGCGGAAAGCTGGATCGGCAGTTATTGGGACAAAAGTACTTTCCTCATTCAGAAGAGGCCTGGTGCCATCTCCACTCTGCTGCAGAAACACTTGAAGATCGTAGGTGATTCTTGGAAAGTGGTTAGATGGGGTTGGCATGAACGTGTACCTGCGTCCTGCAAGCACAACGAGGAGCAGAAGTAACTCAAATGTTAACTAATGAAGTCTGCGTAATCACGGCAAGGGCTGGTGGGTAGCAAAGGCTAGAGAGATGTTTATGAAGGGTTGGGGGTGATAGGTATCGGTAGACAACAATAGTTACTGAGACTCTAGCGGAGATGGATCGGCCTCCAACTCAACCACACAGCAGACGACTGGAACGAACAGTTCAGTCGATCTCAAGCTACTGTTTCGTTCCTCATCACACAGTTGATACATAGTGAAACATGGAGACTGGCATCTCAAATGTGGCAGAAGTTAAGAAAGCCACATTTGGAAAGTTTTGGTTATAACCTTCGTGTTAGCACTTGAATAGTAACCTGTAGATAATGGCTGCTAAATTCATGAAAAAATAAGAGACAGTAAGGTAGCAAAACATGTACTTTCGCATCAAGCTGTGAACGAAACAATGATTTGTAAATGTGCATAAATTTGCAATGACGTTGGCTGTTCTGGAAAGGTATTGGTTATGCCTCTTCAGCAAGGTTTGATAATTCAACGTTATCGTATCATCCCTCGAAACTTTGAGATATGTTCATTGATTGTGAGAAAATCTTAAGGTTATTAGGCCTCTTTGTGGGATGCGATTCTCACCTGAAATATCAAACTCCACGTGAGTGAGACAAAGCGTTGTCTATCGTTGCTTTGATTGTTCAGTACTATATGGCCCTCAGGAAAGTCAAGGCGTTAGTTTCTAATCTTGTTAACCTGTAAGATTAGTTCTCACACTATAGAGATACATCTGTGTAACAATTGGCATTGGTAAAGAAGCACCAAAATGTCCGTCAGATCGATTATTGTATCAGTAAATCTCGTAACTGAGTTCAGACAACCTACGAGGAATAGAAGCTTACGAACATGGCAGGAGTGGAAAGCGTGCTTCAAACGATTCCAAGACTTGGATCAATTTGTCATTAAATGCTAAAGAAAACTAAAAGCTTACACAGGATTTGTCATTTTCTCATAAACAGAGACGAGAACAATAATGTCGACCCGAAATACAAGTTTAGTGTTTTTCCTTGTCAAGTTGGTCGGTACAGTATAACTCACCGAGAACGCCTAGTGGATTTGGAGAACCTGTTGCATAAATGCTTCCCTCCATTTATATTCGTTCTGTTATTTTACATTTACAACTAATGGCAGTTCTTCAAAAAAGATACCAGCATTATAACGGCAATTTCACTTGCCATCAAAATGTTGAGGTCAGCGAAAAAGTTCTAACACGTTAGCATAGTTATCTCAAAAGTGATAACATATAATATGGCAAAATTAATTTTAATATTAGTACTGGAATCGAAAATACTAAGAGTTAACAAAAAAAAACGTACAGAGTTAACCCATAGTGCTTTGAAAGATGACTTTCCAATGCTTATAAGCAATTAAATATTGGAAAAGTATTGTTACTTACACTAAATGCCTGTCTAATTTAACATACCCAACAATCCTTGCTTCAACATATAACGTTTACGTAAAATCAAAAATTACATCCGTTTACAAGCAGTTTATGCCACATTTTTTTTTACCACAGAAACGCATATCCGTCAAAGAAGACTTCGTTTGAAAAATCTTCAACCTATTTCTGCTTTTATGACATCAGCTGATCGAAAATCTCCTATGCACTGTACAGCCGGCCTTCTTTGGGGGATCTGGATAACTATTGCACCTAATAATACCACTCTGAGAAGTGTATAAATTGCATGCTAATCTTTGATTCGCTGATAACTTTTGTCCAAGGAGATTTAACTGCCCAATTTTGGCTGAGTTGAGTAGTAGGTTCCTCCCTAAATATCTAGGAGTCTTAAATGCAAACAACAACGGACCATTCGCCTGAAACCAAATGTAAAACGCTTCATGAAGTTCTAACAAAGACTACTGTAATAAAAAGGAACAACGCGATGGCATTTGTCAACAAAATCTTAGGACATCTTGCTAGGGCCCTACTTCCGAAACTAAGGAATCTGCTATTTTAGTCAAGAAGCAGTAGAATATGTTGATGTAGGGCAACAGGAAGGACTATTTGATTCATTACATAGATCCACTATGAGGTTGCCTTTTTGAGAGGGGTTAAATGGTCGGTTGCCACAAGTTTTAGTTGGCAGTTGTAGCGCATTCCTGATAGGTTTAAGACTTCTGCGAGAGATGCAACCATTATTGGGGTCTACGGGACATGAGGTTTCCGCTTTTTGACATGCTACATGCCTTAGTGTCACCATTGCAGAAGTCGGATATAAAGTTTCAGGGGGGAAAGGAAAGTCATTGGATACTGTTGCGAACCTCAATCAACTGACGTGGCTAAAATGTGTGTATCCGATGCCTCATCGCGCAATAAATGGCTATGACTGGCCAGACTTAAACGTCACACCACTGCACGAAGTCCTTGACTGCTGGTATGAGCCATGTTGGGTGATTCAGTCTAATAGGTGTGGATCCAGTGGTTGGAAAGTGAGTCTAAGCTATATGGGTCGGAATCGATATCACTGGCGCAAATGTCTTCACACTTTCATCTTAACAGCTATTCTGAATTCAACACCTTCTCCTTCTTCTCTTTTACCACTTCCTACTGCTTCCGACCTACGTTCTTTCTTTCTTCATCTTTCATCTCATTACTTTGCTACTTGATGTGCTAAAATGAGGTGTTGCACCTTGGACCGTTACTTATTAGTGTCTTTTCCTATGCTGATAATATATATATATATATATATATATATATATATATATATATATATATATATATATATATATACACTTCCGCTTACGCCAAATCATTCGATTTCAAACAGTGTTGTTTACAATAAGATCAGTTGCAATGATGTCCTGTCATTTCTTTGAAGATGACTCTGTTTCATAATAAAAGCTGTTATTTCCTTCGGATAAGAAATGGTTTCACTAAGGATTTCAAAGGGTAATTTATACAAAAGCAAAGTGGAAATGGTGTTAAAGCTGAGGAATAATTAAGTGAATGATGGAGAAATAATTCTGAAGCCAAGAAGAAATAAAGCGGTCAGCAGGGGAAAGTGGAAATACTACAGACAATTCCAACATTTTCCTGGTTTTTCCTTCTCGTTATGGTCTGTTTTGGCAAACTTTAGTGACTAACAGCCATGTTCGAAATAGGTTTCTCCTAAGCTCAAAATAAAAGCGGAATATGAAATGTGCATTGCTCACTCAGTTTCGTACAAACTTCGTCAGTTATTTTTTCAAGATTGTTTTTCTACTTGATAAATGATATAAATGCCAAAAATGTTGTATTTCAGTAAAAATGAAATGTCATAAAGTATATCTGATTACTTTTCTTTATGGGATTCAACGTATCCTGGTACACTATAACAGGCTTCACCACACTAACAGTTGACTAATTCCGCTTGTTCGAGTACCTCTGCTTTTCACCTCAACTGTACATTTAATCTCGTCGTTAGCCGACTATCAACAAAGGATCTTCGATACACCTTATAAATATAAATTTTACGAGTGGGGATTCTGTGATGGCCCACTTCTCCGTAGTTTAGTGTGATTAACAATAATAATAATAATAATATTGTCTTTATTCTGAAAGCTACTTCAGGAATACTCTACAGAATTTTCAGCACGTCATATAGCATCAATTGGACAGAGAGAGTGAACATGTATACGTAGTAAAATGAAATAAGTAGAAAATTACATTAAGAAAAGATAAAAATAATAGCTCTATCTACAATTTTCTTCGAAATGCGTAGTTAATTTAGATAGACAATCAAACTAGCAATTAGATTCATAATACGTTAGTTTCCTTTCAAAAACAGAAGTTCATTAGTCAGTTCATCTCTGATATTTTCTTCATCACACCGCAGCCGAGCTAAGTGCGGTATTGCAGAGTTTCTATATTTGGTAGTACGTGCATAGAGTCTCATATACACGCTCCTTGTCTTTTCAGATGACTGATATTCAGACAGCTTTAAGCGAAGAGGATGTTGGTTATCTGATAAAATAAATGCTGCTAGATGTTTACATGAGTTAATATGTTTGTCCACAACTGTTTTAACTAAAAGGTTTAGAGGTACACCACTAGTTCTGCTGACAATCTTCAAAGTTCTACGCAATATAGCATAGTCTTTTTCAGTAACTCAGGTAAAAATAAAAGGAAGCAATAGAGGAGAACAATCAAAATACAGAAGTTTATAAAGCACAATAGGAGAGGCTGTTATATCAGATGCTCTCAGCTTCTTAATGTAGAACGTTAGGCGGAAAATTCTTTCGAAAAT